TGAGGCAGGAGGATCACTTGAGCTCAGGAGTTCGAGACCAGCCTGAGCAAGAGCGAGACCCCATCTCTACTAAAAATAGAAATAAATTAGCTGGAGAACTAAATATATGTAGAAAAAATTAGCTGGGCATGGTGGCGCATGCCTGTAGTCCCAGCTACTCGGGAGGCAGGAGGATCGCTTGAGCCCAGGAGTTTGAAGCTGCTGTGAGCTAGACACCAGGCCCCTTTAGCCCGGGCGACAGAGCAAGACTCTGTCTAAAAAAAAAAAAAAAAAAAAAGGGAAAATTCAGCACATCAAAGAGCTACATGCAGAAAGCTGTTCGTTAGGCATGAAAAAGAATGTAAGAAAACTTACCAGCCACCAGCAGGGAGTGGCTTAACGAGCTATGGCTGGTTAAAAGAAGGAAGCATTGCACTGTGATTATAAAAGACACTCACGAAGAACACTAGAACACGCACACGAGAGTGAAAGCAGAACACAAAATGGTCTGCACGGCGTGGCTGCAGGTGCTGTACACACAACAGCGCAGCCTACTGATGCTCCCAGAAGGAATACACATGCGTGAAAAGAACCGCATTATGGGGGCACCACCTCTCAAAGATTTGTCTGAAATGTTAAGACCGTCTCCACACACACAGTGTTTCCTACCTTAGGGCCGCTCTGAGTGTCGTAGCTCACCAAGAAGGCAGCGGAGAAGTTGGCCATTATGCAAGCTGTGCCGTTGCCGTTTGTCACCTCAAACACCGCTGATGCGCTGTGCAGGAGGCCTGCCAATGCCAGGAGAGACAGAGAACATCAAATGCTTCTGGAAAATATGCTGGGCACTTCCATTTTCTACAGCAGCAATAATGGACTGTATTAGAAGATTCCACTGTGTTTCTTAAGCCACTGAAGAACCAGACAGGTGGATTACACAGGCTGGTTCACCTGGGGTTCCATCCCTCCTGGATGCTACTTTGAAACTGTGATCTCTAAGCCCATCTGGTCACAGCTACTTGGTGCTCTGTCTCGGGACCTTTGTCGGGAAGGGACGTGTCAGGTCCTGGGACCAGCCTAGGCACAGGATGCTCTGTGTCTCTCAGAGCATCTCTGGAAGACGTGGTGAGCACTGAACACACACCTCGCCCTAAATACTGGCCTTCTGCAGAGGCCCGTGGGGGAGCCGGCAGTGTCTGCCACTGTGGTCCTCAACTGCTATTTAAAGTTTGATCAGTTTTTACTTCTCGTGGACCAGAGGTGCAGCAAGAAAAGCCACGGACGCAAAGATCTGAGCTCTCTGCCCGATTTCAGAAAGGTCCTCGAAGCACATGACCCGCCGTGTCTGGGCACATCCTGAAGCGAAGGGACAGACTTGAGGCTCTATGGGTCTTCCAGCTCGAGTGGTGACTGCTAAGTGCCTCCCCTCAGCAGCACACGTGATCTGATCGGCATGGTGAAGAAGCTGGTAATCTCACAAAGTGCGTGTTTCAGTACACAGTTCTCTTACAGACTGGCAAAAATAGGCGAGCCGCCGCCACGTAGTGACCACCCAGACATGACATGCAGTGGCTTGTCTGCTGCCAGCCAGGCGCACCCTTCCAGTGAGCACCTGCCACCTGGGATCCGGTCCGCCACCCTGCGTGAGCGCGCCCTTCCGACGACGCCGACACACGGCACGGTCACCTTTCACTCTGAGTGCAAACGCGACTCGGCACCCTGAGGGCAGCACACGGCGAGACGGCCACTCAACTTTCCGTTTAAAATCCTCTTCCCTGGGAAAGCAAATGACTCCGATGAACTCGATTCATTTTACCCTTCAGACTTCCAGAAAATAACATCCATAGAACAACTACTAATCACGCCTAAAGCAAAGTGTGCGACCGGAACTCCCACCTGTCTTCCCTTAAGCCTGTGGCGAAGGAAACACCAAAACCCACGTGGACGAAGAGAAGCTGCCGGACGAGAACATGCCATGTCGCACCCTGACGTTACCGCCTGCTTTCTCAGCTTTTTAACCCACACCCTGAGATACCCGGACAATATCACACTAAACGTGTTTCCGATAAATGACTATTACATTAAAAACCTAGAAGATTCCACAGCTTATGTTTGACATATAAAGGTTTTTAAAAATGACAAAGCATCCTCACTCCTGCCTGGGACGCACAGCTGAGTGGACAAGAGCCGCGGCCGAGATGCGCCAGGCAGCGGCGTGGGAGCCGGAGAGAGCGGGACGCGGACGCGAGCCCAGCGCGGACGTGGCGCTGCCCCTGCCCAGGCCTGCTCGGCGGGAGGGTGGCACGGCTCATGTCCACGTGGGCACGGCAGGACGCCCACATGGGAACACACTAAGCTGCTCTTTTGTAAAAGTTTCCAAAATCATTAAAAAACCTTTTTACTGACCCAAAGCACTTTAGGAAATATTACTATTTCACACAGAGTCCCTTTTTAATCAATTTTCGTATTCGGTAACTATGGGAGGGTCTGAGCTGCCACAGGAAGACAGAAGCGTTGCTAAAACAAACATAAACGAGCCTCGGCTGCACTGGAGGCGTGAAGCTGTTCTGGAAAGGCCCAGAAATTGTGAATTATTAAAATAAGGAACTTATCCCTGGAAGCCAATTCTGGTTAAGAGAAAAATATCTACAAGAGCATCAGAACACAGAATTGAAAAAGAAACACATGTATGCTAATGGTCAGAAGTTTTTTGAAAACTCCACAACACTGGCAATTGGTTTGATCAAAAAGATCTTCTTAAATCAGTGAAAATGTTCCTGGTAATTTGACAGGTGTCACAGCCCAAACAACAGCTGCTGGTGGCACCACCTGAACGTCAGCTCCCTGGCCGACTGGCGGCTGCTCTCTCCGGCAGTCCTCCACGCAGACACACACGTGACCGTTCCTCACGGGGCCACGGAAAGGAGCAACCTGGGCTTGTTCCTCCAAACGCTCCCACTTGTTGGGACTCTAGTCTCTGGAACTAGTGCCGCTGGGGGCCCACACGCACTTCTGAGTCAAAGACCTCAGTTCTGGTGGCTCCTTTGCCACTTGCTGGCCGTTCAACCTCGGGCCACGGCAGCAGTGCACATAGGACGTCGGAGCGCTGACACCTCAGGGCTGCTGAGCGTCAAACGAGCCAATGACGCCACCGCCGCCAGGGCCAATGCTGGCTGTTTTCAACCTTGTACTCTGTATCTATCAAGTTCATCATTTAATCCTCAGTGGCTGACACAAAGTATCAAAGAAGTATTTAACAGGCATTATAACGCAGCTAGTTTGTACCAAGCAATGCTCTAAGCACTCTGCAGTTAACAGCGTGACAACCTCGCAGACACTGTTACGATTCTGAGCTTGCTCACTCTAGGTCACCCGGCTAGTGAGGGGTGCAGAACCAGATCCAGACCTGGGGCTTCTGACAGAGCCGGCCCAGGGGCTGGTCACAGCGCACGTGCCACGTCTGAACCACGCAGCACTTGGTAAGAGAATATGCTTCGAATTGGGAAACACATTTTCTTTTTTTCTTAAAATATACTAAAATAACTTCCAAAAAAAAAAAAATAAAGAAACACTTGCTTTTTACATTAAAGAAATTACCATCTAACAAAGGAAGTAGTTAATAAATTTACTTTAAAAATTAATTTTTGGCCAGGTGTGCTGGCTCATGACTGTAATCCTAGTGCTTTGGGAGGCCCAGAGTTAAACACCAGCCAGAGCAAGAGCGAGACCCCATCTCTACAAAAAATAAAACAGCCCGGCGTGGTGGTGCGAGCCTGTAGTCCCAGCTACTCAGGAGGCTGAGGCAGGAGGATTACTCGAGCCCAGGAGTTTCAGGCTGCAGTGAGCTAGGACGACACCACTGTACCCTAGCCCAGGCGACAGAGCAAGACCTTGTCTCAATCAACCAATCGATCTTAATTTTCATAAGAAACCACATCCTAGCTTTTTATCTTAGCTTGACTCTTTTTATTATTTTTCTTCGTGTTAACCAGTGATGTACAACCATCTATGAAAGTTTAAAGGAGAGGAGGGAATAAAAAAAAGGACAAAGACTAAGCTTCCATCCCAGGCACTGAATCACAGCCTCTAGAGGCAGGGGCCAAGTACTCATGTTTCTAAAAAGCTCATCAGTGCGTATGCTTGGTTAAGAACCACTGCTTTAAAATGAACATTTCTTCATACACGTGCTGGGCACTCACTACACGTCAGCCAAGCAAAGCCACCACAGTGCAGCTGAGCCGACGCTGCGCCGCAGACGCGTGTGCCATGAGGTCCTGAGGTGCGCAGAGAAGGGGGGGG